AAAAAAAAAAAAAAAAAAAAAAAAAATTGGATTCAAAGCGAAAACGAAAAATGATTACGTTCCATTTACCTTTCATTCGTGTAATAATATACCGCTAAAACCGATTAAACGAAACAATTCGTGAACGCGTGTTCCACGTAAATGCACGGCAAAGATTAACAGAGCTCTCTCACTCTCTGCCTCTCCGTGATCTAAAACATTACAATTGATCGCAATAACGTGCGCATCGCGACGGAGAAGACAGCGGAGCGTTCTCCAGAGGCAAACGTATGAATTCCGCCATTGTAAATCGAGACTCGGGTCTCGTGTAAACGTTAATGATGCATTGATTCAGCGGCGAGGATCGATATTAAGGTGATTCACGGTGTTCTAACGGTTAGCCGCGTTGAATAACGAGGACTATATCGGCGCGACGCAAAGCGATCGATGTTTCTACGTGACTCGTACCTTCTCGCGGCTGCTTCTCTCGAAATCGAGTTAGCGTTACAACTGCGGATCGATGCGGCATTTTAACACGATTAAAAACCGTTGGCCGGTTCAACGACCCGAAGTTATTCGTTTCGTTAATTAGCGAGGATCAATGATTCGTTTGACCACAGAAGGCGAAGGGTATTTGCGAGTCTTCGCTCGTTCACCCTCGATCCACCCTCGGACGAAGCTTGCCTCGGTTAATACCTCGAAACGGCTCAATCGGCTTCCATCGGGAAGATTATTTACTCGTTAAGAGAGAGAGAGAGAGAGAGAGAGAGAGAGAGAATGGTTGCTTTATTATCGAGCGCTATTGGCCGATTGTATCTACGGTATTCTCTCGCAATTTCGCTACGTCGTAGCCGATCGCTAGCTATTACCCCCGTAGCTTTCATCGTGGCTTTTTATCCCCATCTCGCGTAACTCGCACCGTGGCGAAGTAAAAGGCGGCGGAGCACACCGTTGGAAAAACTAATTTTTGTCCCGTGCCGGCTGGTTGCCATTAAATTACCGATCCGATCGATCCGGCCAACCCAATCCGGCGGACACATCCCATCGGAAGGGAAAAAGGCCGCGGTGAGTTAACACGGTTATCGTACGTTTCTGCGCCAGCTTTCGCTGAAATTTCATTTCGGCCGGTATCGTTTGGTAAACGCGCCGGATCTGATTTAACTGGCTATCTCGAACGAGGAACGGCACGCGCCTGCAACTCGCTGTCCGCTTTTTTATATGGAAACGTTTTGTTTTTCGACAGAGCAGGGAAATATTGTACTCGGACTGAACGAAAGCCGAACGTGAGCCGAATATCAGCCGACTCGGCTTCGTTCCCGCCGAATATTCCGAATTTTCCGTATTTTCCCTTACGACGTACCTGCTCGTTCGACGTACGACGATATCGGACAGGAACAAGCTTCCTCTCCTGTTCGTCTCGTGTAACTCGGGAAGAGGAGGACACACGTAAGAGTGAAAAAAGGAAGAGGGGCGGAGGAGTTCATCCGGCGCAGCCGAGCGGGAAATAGCTAATATCCTAAGACATGAGCGACATCGTGCTGGAGATGAGCCTCGGCCCCGGGTTCTCTGTGTATTTTCGAGAACGAGACGACTCTCTTTGCTATTTATTCCGAAAGGCAGAGGCCGAAATTCGCCGGCAACGGGGGGAGGAACAACTTCGTCCCGGTTGGTGCGCTTCCGGCGGACGTTTTCCATTGGATTCCACGGCGAAACTCAAGATCCTTTCCGTCGGCGAAGCACGGAATGGCTATTGAAAATTTATGTAACACGCGCGCGGTATACAGGCTCTCTCATACGAAGCTATCCACGCGATTTTCTCGTCAACTATTCGCTAGAGAGGAGAATATTTCAAATAAAACTTACGTCACTTCGGAGGGAACATCTCAAATCTTCAAGTCTAAGTGGTTGTACTTACGCGATCTCAAGGTGACCTCTGTTTCTTTTAATAGAACTGTATACTTTTGAGTTCAAAGTCTCGTGCCTGACATCAAATTCAGCGACCTAAATAACGTTGATGTTTCAAGGTCGTACAAGGTCGTTCAACGCCGCTCAAAGCTTACTTTGAACATCCAGAGATTATTCTTAGAATATTCGAAGTGGTGATCTTCGGTTTATTCTGCCTCTAAACGATAATTGCACCCTTTTCAATGGTTTGGGAATAATTTGTTTGTAGGAAACGTCCTTTGTACCATTTTTCACATTTACAGAGAGTAGTGTGGTCTTTTCGAAACACCTGATTTTTTAGAAAACCCCACAAGAAAAATGTCTTGCAACTGTCGTCCGGAGCAAGAATAAATCAGTATTGATACACGAAGGACATCATAGACAAGGAAGGAAAGCGATCCTGAATGTCATCCTAAGTCATCGAATTCGTCTTGACGTCAGCCACGAGCTTGTGAACTCAGAAATACACAATTCTGTTATTTTAAAAAGATGAACATCACCTTGAAATCTCGAAAGCCTGATCATCTAGATAAGATTGTCAGGCTACATAAGATGTCATTTTTATGAAATTTTCATTTCATCGAAAACATCATGATGCGAACATTTGAACCAAATTCAACAGCCCGTCATATGAAAACCAGTACGTTTATGCATGAAAATATATGTATGTATAGCACAAAGCACGACCACCATTAAAACCATCGTACTCAGATCCACAGAAAGTTAAACAAAGACTAGACGATCGAAGATTTATAATTATTAATGGAGAAGAAGAAACTGTTTCAATAAAAGGATTAAAACCAGTATTTGTATGAAAAACTGATTCGGAAATGGAAGATAATCAGAGACGAGATATAAACAACTTTGACGTCCAACAAACAGTATTCAGAACTAATTCAAATAAGAAAAGAGTTACATTGGCAATAAAGTACTGTGACGGTGCGCGTGTTTTTAAAAAATAGGGGAAAATATATTTATTGTACTTACAGTTGTTAAGAATAAACCAAAGAATAAACCGAATAACGTCGATCGCGAAATAAACGAATACGCAAAAGTATATTATTTTTGTTCAGCATATCTCATACAGCACATCTCTATTATATTCACAGCCGTGAACCATAAATATATAACAATAAATCGGGATAATTTCGGCAGGTATGTTTGAAACAACTGCGATGCGAAATCTGTTATGTAAAATGGGACGCGATTAATCGAAACGAACGTGATGGGATTTTCAATGCCGGATAAGTGACAAAATTTCGGTCGCGGTACATAAGCGGTTTAAACAATTTCCGTCGCACGTTTGACGAGCAAACGAAGATCAGACGTCTGTAAAAATACCGCGTCGATGAATTCCAATTGCGGACGCGTCGAAAATTGATTTGCATCGATGAGCACGATACGATAAGAACGTTAAACACTGTTATCTCGCGAGAGACGCGAGTTTCAGGAAGCCGTAATTTACGTTCTTGTTGCGTGCTGTCCGGCGGGGGATGTTTTTGCAATTGTCAGACGGAGTATATAATCGGGAAACCGGCTGGCAGTCGTTGGTAGTCGAAACTTTGGAGTAACATGAAGGTGTCAGCGACAGTGCTGGTTTCTGGTTTCTTGGTGTCGTGGATGGTTGCTTATCCAGAGCTCGTGGACTCTGGTGCACTCGAAAATATCTGGGTATTTAATTTTAAAAGCGCACAAAAAATCCACATTTTGATTACACTGTCGCGTTAAAACCAATGCTGAAAAATTGTTTATTTATGAAATACTTTATTTATAAAAAAAAAAAAGAAACCTCAACAGTTTATATTTCGAAAGTACGTGGAATCGATGTGTTGGAAATTGTTAAAGATAGATCTCGCGAAACTCGTGACTTTTTAGATTTTAGAATAAATGCCGAATGATCGAACACGAATCCTCTTACGAACTTAAGGTTTGTCAACTTCCCCCATTCTGCGAGGTCCTCTTTTCATTCAACAATATGTTCTATGTAGGCAAATTAAGTTACAGTTAAGCCCCAAACATTCGTTGGGATTTCTCAAGTTTATTGGAAAGCTGAGTCGAGCAAAATCTGTTTTCTGCTTTCGAACAATCACGAACAGTTGCCAACAGATGTCTAAATACCGAAAGTCTTTTCTCGAAAGTCATCTGCTAAACTTTTGCTCAGATGCGCCTATTTGAATTAACACGGCAGAATAGAATTCTGTTCAGAATTTCAAAAACATATTTCTTCTATACGTTTATATACATATATACATATCAATTTAGGAAGGAACAAAAGTAGAGGGACAGGACAAGCCGCAAGGTTTAATCGAAAATTTCAAACTACTGAAAGATAAATTCACACCGCCGCGATTATTGGAAAGTGCAAGATTCGGGAGACTGGGGACACCTAATCCGTCGCGACAGCAGAGCAACGGTAATAAGTAAACTACGTAAATAAATACCATTAGACGAGAGTATCGAGAGTACTTACTGACGGTACTCTCGTGTCTTTCGATTTCGAAGGAAACGATGAAGTTTCGACGCCGCCGCTCTTGAAATCGCTCATCTTCGGCAAAGACAACGCAATCGTCTCGACGATCTCGAACGTGGTGGGAGCAGCCAAGGGATTGATCGGTAGGATCAAGAGTAATTTCCAGCAAGGTGATTCGATTCGTACGTAACGGCGTGAATATTTACAAGCGGGAAAACGCGAACTTCTGCATTTCGTGAATGTTTGTTTGCCAAACCAAACGCTGCTCGCGTGGACTCGTTCATTCGACACCCGATAGAAACGCATCGGTGAAATTGCGAAATTGAAAAAGACCGACGAAAACACGGCGTAACGAGGTCGCGTGGAAACGTAATTTATATTTTTCCAGAGGCAGGGCTGCCTTTCCTCGCGCAACGAGACGGCAGACTAGCAGGTAACGTACAGCGGCCAAAGTCGCGACATTGAAAAATTTCGGTCTTAAAGAGACGAACGAATAAAGAGGAAGCTATTACTTTTTAAAGGGGTCGTTCCGAGCTTGGACAAAAGTGATTCTGCCCGGCTGAAAGGGCATGAATCAAGCGGCAACGACGATTCTCGGGTACCGATAGCGATTGAGAGGGCCAACAGCAACGCGGTGATAGAGGGTCGCGCGAACGGTTATCGGGAATCGGCAGAAGCTGGCGCGGAAGAAAAACGCGCGATTCACTCAGCTGGTTCTCGAGCGTCGTCGGAGGCGGATGCAAAAACAGGTGCCAGCCGGGGAAAACAGTCGGCAGCGTCTCAGATATCGGCGGGGGAAATCGAAGAAAAATCAGTTGGCGCAAAAAGGCAGAGTCATTCTTCCGTGGAGACTGGGAAAAAGTCGTTAACCAGCGACGACCCGAAACGGGAGAGAGTTCCCGAGGATCGGGAAATTTTGTCGAAAAAGCAGCTGCCAGCGAGTGAAGGGACCAACGATCGAACAAAAGAGTAAAAGTTAAATTAGATAACAATCCGGAGTAAGAGGGAAGGTACTTGATCGCTAATTGTTCGTAAGATTAAGAAAAAAAATTGTCCAACACCAAGAAGAAGAAGAAGAAACCAGATGATGAAAATTAATCGCGAAACATGTATCGTTAAAAAAAGATGAGATAAAGATGATTGGTAACTGCTTGGAAAAGTTAAAGCTAAAGAATCAAGCGAGAGCGGCGAAAACGCTGACGTGGAGATGTCTGTCGTGACATAGAAAAAATATGACCACGTACACAGAGAATGCTCGAACGTGGAGGGACAGATAGTTCGTTGAGCGAGCAGATGAAAAATTATCCATTGTCACGCGTAACGATCGATCTGCTCTTATTGTTAATACTAAGGTGAAAAGAAAAGGTGACGATCTTTACGGACCATTTCGAGACATCGGCAGAAATCGATGAATAAGCAGTAATCAAAGGAAGAAGAAGAACGGAAATTTCCAAGCGAGTAGCTAGAGAAAGATGGTCGCTAAACTATCACCGAACGTGTCATGCAAAACGCAACGTTCAGGAGAAAATAGTTTTAAAGTATCAAACGATGTCGAGAGCGTGGAACGGAACGAACACGTCGAGATTTCTCGCGTATTAGCTGCGATCGATGAGTAAGCGATTGTGAACAGCATCGACGTCGCGACAAAACGATCGTGAAGGATCTCGCGGTGCGAGCTAGCGTCAAGTACGCGCTAAGGAACACTAACTACGGGTATTCAGACACACGAATAATTACAGAATCCGCTTGCAAATATCTAAACGTCGACGTTTGAATTATTAACAAATGCGTAGTCATCGTTATTAACATTGTACGAATGGACAAATTACATACTTTACTTCTTGATTTGGGTAACTTCGTGTTTATTTTTAACCCTTTAACCCTTTTAACCCTCAAAAGTCAAATCATTTTCTGAGTTCGCTAATTTCTGGTAACATTTTGACAAGGGCCTAGAGTGTCTTTTCTTCAACAAATTTTAATTTCTCAAACATAACCTAACCTAATTTTTCAAATCTAACCTTAAATCTTTAAGAGATTAACAGTTATAGTCGATCTTTTTCGAACTGCAATAGACTCGAAAAGCTGTTGAAAACATAAAATAGGAAAAGCACGTTTCAATGGCTAAAGTGTATTATGTATCTTTTTATATAATAAAATTCTATAGGTTCTTATAGTCTCATAAAAAGATTTTAACATTTTTATTAAAATTTTAAATTTATAAAATATACACGAGACAGGATATATTTCATTAATCCTTTCATTTCAAATTTCATTTAAAAATCAATTGATTTTTGCTACCTTCGTACAGTCAATTATGCTGCAGCCATTTGAATTTCATTGGATCGATTTCAGATCGATCTTAAAATTATTTTCAATAAGACATGTTTTCGATAAGCAGGTGAAAACATTTAATTTGATTACTCCAAATCGTCAATAGATACCGTATATATGTTTTTATATTTTCAACAAAAAGCTATATATATATATTGCAATTAAATTAAAATTTCTGAAACTTCCAAACTCGCCACTCTAGATGGAAAAGAATTCGTTTCTTCATCGATGACCTAGAAAATTCTTGGACAGCAATTAGCAACAAATACGAAAGGGAGCCAAATATTTGGACGATGATGAACCGCGAGTCTTTCAACTGGTCTCTTTGTGTTTATCGAGACAGTGCGAGTGTAAAAACGGGTAACTGTTGCAATTGCGGATGATCTATATTGGATGTGAACGGCGCGCAGCATGTAGGAAGTTCTGGTGACGTCCAATTACGCGTCTCCGGATATAAATCATCGGAAATATGAGGCCTACTGACGCAACCCGTCCACTGATGCATTGTTCCCATTGTGAGAAAGTAGCGGTTGTATTCATTTGAAAAGAAAAAAAAAAAAAAAATGCACGCCTTTAAAATGTCAACGTGTAATGCGAGATACATTGCGCAATGTCTCGAGAGAGAGAGAGAGAGAGAGAGAGAGATTCCGTCAGGGAAAAATATCGTTCCTTACGTATATATAGAGCTACGTAAGTAAAAAAGGCGCGTAATATATCGTTTCGCGAGTCGAAATTTGAGAAGAGAGCAGCCTTCAACGCCGCGTAAATTACAACGCGTTCGAAACGCGTTTCACGGTGTCGTGTTTCAATTTCGTACGTTCTGAAACACTCGGTTTATTAATCACGTATTGACCTTTGAGAGAGGCTGCGGCAGACAATGAACTAGCCAGCGTGGCTGGTAGAACGCTCTGGAACTTCCTGTTGACCGAGACGTTGCGGCAGAATAAACCGAACGTACAATTGATCTCGAAAGAACGTTACAAACATCCGAGGAAATGACATTAACTGGTTTATCCGAGTTTAACATGGGTCAGGTAGAAAGTCTTGTAGTTGCAACAGACAGGGCGCGCTTTCTTGAAACGTTAATCTCGTTCGAAGCTCCGGCAGAGAATCGGAACAATAACCTGCCGCCGGAACACAATTCGATTTCGAACTAACAAGCGGAGTGCAAGACCTTCCGCGTTACCGCGGATTCCGTCGAAACCCTCGCACACTGGCAGACACGATTTTTACAAAACTTATGCTACACATCTGCAGTTGAAGTGTTTCGCCGAGATACAGCTCGAGCGAGGGAACGAAACGAATACCAGCAGCGACGCAACGCGTTTATCTGGCGTCGATTGACTGAAATCGCGATTCATCTTTCGATGGGCCGCTGCCAACGCCCGGTCGGTCCAGCGCGGCGTCGCTCGCAAATTACAGACTTCGTTAGAATCCCCGTTATCGCGATACCGGCATCTCTTCCCCTCCCCTCCCCTCCCCCACCCCGGGAATTATAAAAACAATTCAGATTTATACCTCGCGGCTTATCACGCGCGGAGAAAGTTATCCCGTGCGCGCGAGCCTTGGTTAGTACGTCGCGCGGACAGCGGCCGATAAATCTCCGCGAGGAAAAGGTCTCGTTTCCAATAAAGATTACGGTCGTTCGATAAAAAGTCACTGTTAGTTTGCTCGGCCAGAGTGAGTTGTGAAGCAACTTTTGAACGAAAAGAGAGGGGTAGCAAGAAACTAGGCTAATTTGGCTGGGGATGGATCAGGAGAATCCAAAGAAAGGCTGGCCAGACGTTAAAATGGCAATTAATGGCTACTGTTGACACCTAAAGGCGCTTTTAAAATTTGCTTTTGAGATACAAGCGCTCGATTTTACGCTGTTCGAATGAAACTGAAGGCGCCTACGTGTTATTTAGTGAAGCAAATTTTACAAAAATACAGCTCAAGGCGAAGGTAAAAAATACTGGCGGTGAGCTTCTTCGTTTGACGTGAAAACATTTTCCGTCTACATACGTAAATGGTACAACAACTGGGGAAAAAATGCAAAGTGCAAATGCGCGGTGTGTAGAAAATCTTTGTTAGATTATTAGATACATTATGAAATAAAGCTTACAATTAGAGTTAAAGTTAGATTTTTAGTACGTGCACTGATTCAATTCGACCAGAGGAATAAATATTATCGGTTCAACGTGGTACAATTCAGTGTTTTGATTATTTCAATACAGTTTCTGAGGGACGTATACGCTGACGAAAAATTTCGAGAATAAATTCGTTCTAGTCATTCGCCTTCCAAATAATTATTCCATACGTTCTAGCCTAATTGCGGAAGGATTGAACGGGCCTCTCTGCTGAATGAGACGGACCGTAGTGAACCGTGATATCCGATCGACTGTTCGTCTGAACACGTGGCATGTAAGGAACGTGCGAAGGAATGCGTGTATCGCGGCGCCGTTGGCGCGGCAGCAAATTTCGCCAGGCGAAATGCTGCCGATATTCCGAGGAAAGCACGTTGCATAGGCTCTGCCAGCGAGAGAGTAGAGGAGAACGTAGAGAGTATAGAAGGCGAGATGGGGACGCGTACGCTCGAATTAATAAACCTTTCATAACGGGGCGAACGTTACCGTATAACTAGCTGCGCGTACACGAGGCCCCGTCGCGTTACGCAAAAATACAACCGCCGGCGAAATTTACGCGCGTCGCGCGGCATAAACTGGCGGTGACCGCGTGTGCCTTCCTCCCCTCTCGGAGGGAATCGGGGACGCGAGCGCGCGCTTCCTCGCGTACAAAGGGGCGCGCTTCCTCGTTACCAAATGGAGATCGAAGCTCTCCGCTCTCCGTTCTCTCTCTTTCTCTATGCGATGTCCGTGCGATGCACGCTCGCCGATCGAGACTCGAGAATCGAGAATCGTGGCCGGCCGACACACTGGCAGATTTATACCGGTGCGAGCGCATTATCGCCTTGTTAATATGCAAGCCGGCGAGTGTGCGCGCGATCGAGAGACAGAGCGAGGGGAGAAAGAGCGAGAGAAAGAGACAGGCCGGAGCCACGGCGTACTTTAGTAATTTATTTAGCTGCCGTGCCGTAATCCGAGATATTCATCCGGGTAATGGGTAATCGTAGACGCACTCGCAACCGTGGCTCGGAATCGCGGCAATTATAGCTGTATATACACCGACACGCTCGGTGATACGCTCCCGAGCGCGCCAAATCTAACGATCTCGTCCCCTACGATTCTCGACGATATTTGTGTCACGATGGTAAAGCGGGATTACCTCGAAAGAAATATATCGATCAGGGCACTCTCACTGAACGCTGATCACTCTACGTCAGGGAACGTATTTCCCACTTATACCGGATAGAAGAAAACGCAATTGTTTCACTGTAGCGAATGTGAGTTGTCCACGGTTCGCGATTCGTTACAAGAATGTACTCTCTGAGGTACGAGAGAGAAACTGAGCTGATCTTATCGAATATTGGGCTTCTCATACAGAGTGTTATCTCGCAGTTTGCAAAAGTGACATATAAATCAAGGATTGGCCGAGCCATGGTTTTACAATACATTCGCTCACCTGATGGCTCGCACTATCCTTTGTGCTAAACGCTGAGTAAAAGCGTTCGTCGTCTCGCTGTTTGATCGAAGAAAAAGTGGTCACCCTCGCCGGAAGTTGGCGCAAGTTAGCCGAGATTTATGCCGGGTAATTTAGCAAGCCATTTCGAGCAATGAACGGCGAGAAACATCGCAGCGACTGGAGATGAAAATTTTAGGTGCCACGGGAAAGCCGATGATTCACTGCCGTATCGCGTTTAGTTGCGTTCGCGGCGGACACGGAGCTTCTTCTACGGAAGAATTTCTGCCCGGCGAGACGGAGATCCGATTAGAAAGGACAATCGCTCGCGGAATGATCGAAGGAGCAACAGAATTTTTTAATACACGTACGATGTTCACTCGGCTCGGCCTGTTTCTCTTCTCCTCATCGTTCGATCAATTTTTTGATCGATGTCAAACGGAACGTACGTCTTACCGTCGGGTAAGCGAGGGTTAGAAAAAAGTCCTGGAAAGGTCGCCTTATCGAAACACGTGGGAACCATTGATCCAACTAAGTAATACGTACATACAGGCAAAGTTGAAAACATTCTGTCTGTGAGGGAAGGAAAGAAAGAGGAAGGAGGAAGAGGACGACCCACGCGCCTCAATAACGATCACGATGCCGGTCGCGGCACTAGCCCGAAGCGGCCAACCGCAAGACAATGGCCGTAAATACTGGACACGAGATGCTCGTCATCGTACAGGGAAGCAAGGCATAATTCACAATGGGGTATATCTCTTTAAATCGCGCGAAAGCGTAAAAGCTCGTCGCGCGAACGTTCGGCCAGCGAGGCTGCACCGGCTGTGATATATTATCGCGGCTGAACTTTGCACGTTTCACCGGCTACGATCGAACGTGACTTCTCCGCGAGCGATCGAACGCCGCGCCGTTTCACGCGGGCAGACGCGCGCCATCGCCATCGCCATCGCCATCGCCATCACCGACACGGCGACGGAAAAGCTAGCTGGTAAGATAAAGATTGATCGATTAATCCTCTGCCTAGTTAACGTCAGCTTCTTCATTCTTTCCAGGAACGTCAAAATCTACGCGAACCTTTCGCGCGTCCTCTACTTTATCGTGACGTATCTTTGGTAAAAGATCCTTGCATTTAGAAAACTTTCAGAGAGGACTTTTAACATCTTCGGGCTACTGTCTGTTAACCTCTTAGCTGGTGGTAGGCCATTGTTAACCCTCCAGCCGCGGGCA